TTTTTTAATAATTTCAAGCAATGATCATCGTTCCAATCGTGAAGTATCCACTGCAAATGTTGAGGGGAAAGCAAAGTATACGCATTTAAGATTTTAATTATCATCAATTATAACGTACACAATGCGTCTATCCATTGTACATTGAGATTATTTCAGGTTCGGATCGAAACTTTCAGTTGGTCCAATAAAAATCAGAATATGATCAATGTAATGAATAAGTTGAAACTTTTTAAAGTTCTGGACAATATGAAACCATGCATGCTTTAAGTGGAGTTTGAGTACGTTGATATTTTACCTTCATGAAAATGGCATCCCCGTTAGGAACTCTTTCAAACATGTCTCCCATGGTTTATTTCTGCATATGCATTTAAGGATGCTTGATGAAGATCTTTATGATGTTGGCAGTAAATCACCAGAGTAATTAATTTTTTATTTTTTTTTTAAATAATGTTTTGAAAATGTCAATCAAAATAATAAAAATTTAAGAAAAACCATAACATCGAAAATAATAGATTAAAATCCGTGCAATAATACTCAAAGTACTCTTTTTTTTTTTTTGGGTACAAATCTTCCAAGTACTCTAATAATATGTAATTGCAAACTATCCCCAAAACTCATGTTCCAACACAAAAATGTTCTTTGAGTATTTAATAAACGTAATTCTTATTTCAAAACGAAGAGGGCAACATCTCTTATTCATTTCCAATTTCATTTGAATGTAAAAAAAGGATAAATTATGGACTATATATATATAGTCCATAACTTCTCCTTTATATATATATATATATATATATATATATAATTCTTATTTCAAAACGAAGAGGGCAACATCTCTTATTCATTTCCAATTTCATTTGAATGTAAAAAAAGGATAAATTATGGACAATATATATATAGTCCATAACTTCTCCTTTATATATTTATATATATATATATATAGTCCATAACTTCTCTTTATATATATATATATATATATATATATATATATATATATATATATATATATATACCTGGATAGCCTGGAGCATGTTGTATAACATGCGGCAAATCAAAATTAATGCCCCTCAGATTTGAACATTTTGTGGTAATCATCTTGAGGGTAACTCCAAGGCCGCCCCCGACATCTACTAAAGTTTTGAGGTGATCAAACCCTTTGTAGGTCTCAGGAAGTGTGTCCATCACAATTGTAGTATGATTTATCATTGCCTTGTTGAACACCTCATTGTATCTGAGATTTTTTTCAAGATACTCAAATAGTGTTTCGCCATTTACCTTCTCAAAGGGGACTACTCCTTCAAGCACTGCATTTTCTAGTTCATACATTAATTACAAAAAAAATTATAAATACATAACGAAGTGAGTCAAAGGCGACTCTTTCTCCCTTCTAATCTATCTTGGAAGACTACTTTTGTATTGTAAGTATGCTGGCTATCAAAATTCAACTTGTGAAATTGCTCAACATAGCCTCTTGAATTTGTTTACCTTATAAAATAACTGAGGAGTGCACCAGGTACCATCCTAGTTTTTAACTATTGTTTTTTCTTTTTTCTTGAAATTAGTAAGCACAAAATGAGCATTCTTTCCCCAATTTTAAATAGGACGGAAAAAAAGAAGAAATTAAATAGCGAAAGCATTACACCCTCCATCGTTTTAATTAGGTGTGTTCTACTTTGCAAAAGATCATTTCTAGATAAATGACACTATAGTGATTCGGATGTTGTTCTTCTTACTATTAGATCTGAATTCAATTCCCATTCAGAGTATACAATAGGAGTTTTACTAACATTTAAGTGGGTTCACTGGGATAAATTTTTTTTTTTTTAAAATGTAGTTAGATTTTAGATTATTATTTCTATTGTTGAATCAAGTTCTACTCAATATGTTCGAATCAGGATCATCTCAAACGTTCAATTAGTTTTGGGATAGTGAAATATTTTTCTTTTCAAAAAAGAAAAAAAGAAAGCTGTTCTTTTGAGGAATTAATTACTTAAAACTTGTGGGCAACTCAACTAAAACCGTCTCAAGTACATTTATAAGGATCAGCGATTATTGTTATTATTATTTTTTTTTGCTTTGCTTTGCGTGAATGGTAGTCATTTATTATATTCAATGTACTTAACATAAGAAGGGAAAAAATAAAATAAAAATGAAGGGGAATTTAATTACCATGTCCGTGTATTCACAATATCATTATTCAAATCCAAGAAAGGGCCCAAGGAAACTCCATGTTTGTTCCTCACAAAGAACTCCGCCACCGGTGCCAACCCATATACTCTTTGGCTACCGCCATTGTCACCACCACCGTCAACGGAGGAACACGTCAGCACGGAGTGGTTAGCGAGGAGGCGCATCATCCGGTCAAGCATCCCCGCGATAATATCATCGAGTTACCAACGTTGGTAATCAAATGGTCATATTCGTCGCGGTTAATTTTACACTTAGTAATAGAAAACTTAGAAAAGCGAGAAGCGATTTGGGAAGGTGAGAGTTGCGCTTTGGGACCGGCTCCGGCTATGATATCGAACAAGCCGAGCTGGATGGCGGACATCAACACCATGGGAAGCGATATGGAGGTCGCCAGCTGCATGGCATACGAGAAATGCCGCTGGTTTTCTTCTTCTTCTTCTTCTTCGCCATTTCGTAAGTTGTTAATGTTGTCGGCAGTTTTAGCTGGTGATTCCATACTTTCAAGTACTATTACCAATAATAGTAAAAAAAAATGAGAATTGACTTTATGATCTGTTTATTGCCTATTGAGTTTTTTAGATATGGAATTACAGGTTTAGGATGATTTCCATAATGTGTGGAGCAACGATAAAGATAGAAAGTGGGGGCATCATTAACCCTCATTTGTATGATTGTTTTTGTTTGTTTGTTGGGTATGTTTATGCATTTCATTCACGAGTATGTTATTTATGTTGTCGTGTACAATGTGAAATTATAAATACAAAAATAAATACAAATCAACAGTGTAGATATACAGTATACTTTGTGTTATGCTACCTCTCTACCACTTGAACTCAACATAAATGAATCCTCAAGTGACAAAGTTAATTAGGGGAGATGCAGGAGAAATTGTGTCACTTCTTTTTCTTTTTTCATGATGAATTAATAGAGATACGGTAAATTTAATACATCTATATATTGATTCATTTTCACGTTTTCTACATAAGAAAATGTTATAATTACTATTATTTTATTTTTAAAAAAATTCGATCGCACCTCCTTATTCATGAAATTGATATATAACTCATTTGACAATAAAAATTAAAATGTATGGAATAATAATTGGTTGATGAAAATGTTGTACAAAACCTTGTGGTGGTTTTTTATTTTATTTTTTTTTTGGCATAAAGCGAAATTGTAAATATTATTATTAAAAAGCTTTGATTGCCAGTAAAACATGTGTAGTACGTACATACGAAGAGGACGCTGACATTTTGTCGTTAGGATTTAGGAACCCAATTATTGATGTTGTTGATTCGGTGCCACTGTGGGGAACTGAACCTTTAAATTTTTCATATATAAAAGAGTAATAATAATAAAAACACTCGCAAAACTATACTAATTAAAACGTAAAAACTCTTTGTGAGTGAAACAAAACCTCAATCATGGATATGATGTCTCTCTAATAGAGTTCCATGACACACAAATTACAAATGAAATGCCTAAACTTGATTCCTTGAAATCCAGCTCTCAAAACCAACCTAATAAACTCTTCTTCGTTTCTCTCCTTTCCTCTTCGAGTTTCAATCAACATTATTACATCCAATTGGCGTATTGCTATTGTACGTGCTCTAGTATCCATAACATTCATCCAAAGAAGTTCGTCCACAATTACTGCCTCCATTCATTTTTATGTATCGCTTTAGAGTTTACACAACTATTAAAGATGATTGTGATTTTTATTTTTAAATATATTGTGTTTCTTGCTCTTAATTATAGACATTGGAACTCTACAAAATTTGAAATTAGAGTGAATAAATAGATAGTTGTCATTAATATATACATTAAAAGTAGAGAGAGATAAAAATGAAATTGAAAAAAATTATATTTAATGCGAAATTAGAAATAAAGTGTGATAGATAAAAATAATTTTTGGTGTAACGTAAAGTGACAGATATAAGTGAATGGAGGTAATATTACTTTTTCATTTTTTGGTAGGGCTGTATGAATTTTTTAATTTTTTTTTAACAATTTCACGCAATGATCATCATTCCAATCATGAAATATCCACTCCAAATTTAATAAGTTTTCGCACTTAATTTTGAAATGTATGTAAATAATTTTAAAATTTAACTATTTCATTGCCCCAAAGAAACAGTACCAAGTATGTTTTTTGGGATGATTACTCTCATGCTGCCTTTTTCTCTTCTTTTTTTTTTTTCCCTTTTTTCTTAAAGCAGAAAAAGAGAGGTTAAGAATAACGCGTGAATGTTTAATTAAATTAACACAGTATGAAAATGTACTAAGCCTTGTCATATTAATATACGGGGTTCTACCGCTACTTGTGGATCATCTGAAAAGACCAGCTATGCATCATTGGCTTGGTCACTGGAGGAGTCTCAGGCCGCATGCTAATGTATCAAATGTTCATATATTCTCTCTGTCCCAAAATTATTATCTAATTTGGGATTTTACTTTTAGTACAATTTAAATTAAAAATGAAAATCCAAACTGGACAATAATTATAGGGCGGAGGAAGTATAACATATTGCAATACAATGACAAAAATACCTTCATATGTAATTTTCTCATCCCATTTAATTTCAATAATTTCCTTTGTTATGTATATATTAAAATGAAATAGATGGGGCAATAAATTGCGGCTTCGTATCTTTCCCCAACATATATACTTAAAAGGTTTCATATAAATGGGAGAAGAAGACTAAAGCTCTTTATTGGCCGTCAAAACCCTTGACGGACTGTATCAATCGCAATAGAACTTAAAGAAAAGAACAACAAAAATTGTAGTATGAGTTTTGCGGTGAAACAGGTCCTCAATCATGGACATGATTTTCTTTCTTATAGAACTCCATGACCCACAAATTACACACAAAACATTTTAGCTTTATGCCTTGAAATCCAGCTTCCAAAGCCAAAGTAAGAAACTCGTCTTCATTTCTTTCTCTTCCACTTGTAGTATGAGTCATCATATTAATATCCATTTGGCAAGTGCTTTTTGTACAAGCACTGTTATCGGAAATATCAACCGGAAGAAGTGCATCTACAATTATCACTTTTCCATTTTCCGGCAACGCTTTGTGACAATTTTTTAATAATTTCAAGCAATGACTATCGTCCCAATCGTGAAGTATCCACTACAAAAGTATAAGCATTTAACATGAATTAGAGTAATACAATGGCCATCGAGATCGTCTCAGGTTCGGATAGTAAATTTCAATTGGTAAAATAAAAAACGAATTGTCAACATTATGAATAACTTAGAAACTTTCCGAAATTCTGGACAAAATGGAACCATGCATGCTTGAAGTGGAGTTGATGGACATTGAATCTTTTACCTTCATAAAAATGGCATCCCCGCTAGGAACTCTTTCAAACATGTCTCCCGCAATATGGTTTATTCCTGGATATACATGTTAAGAATGGAAGATCTTTTTGTAGTTGGAACTAAATCACAAGACATAATGAACTTATCTTTTTCCAGATTTTTAATTACATTAATAATTTTTTTTTTCAAAAAAAAAAGACAAAAAAATTAAATCCGTGTAACCTCCAAATCCTCTAGTAATAATTAGATTAATAGCTAAGCATCCTCCAAAACTCATGGTACAAATTTGCCTTCATCAATGTGACAAAATCCTTTTGTTTCACGATAAAAATGTGCTTGCATATATAAAAGTACTCTCTATTTTTAAAAGAAATAGTCCATATTGAGTTTTTGAATTTGTATTATTTTTTTTAATACAAATATCAAATCCCTATAAATATTTTTTTAAAAATAGAAATAGTACAATAATTCTCGTTTTAAAATAAAGAGGCTAACATCTTTCAGTCAATTTCCAATTAATTTGGATTCGAGAAGGAAAAGGAAAGAAAAAGTATATGTACCAGGACGGGTTGGGGCATGTTGTATAACATGCGGTAAGTCGAAATTAATGCCTTTTAGATTTGAATATTTGGTTGTAAGAATTTCGAGGTTGACTCCAAGGCCACCGCCAACATCTACCAAAGTTTCAATGTGTTCAAATCCTTTGTAATTCTCGAGAATTTTGTCCATCACTATAGTGGTATGATTGATCATGGCCTTGTTGAAGAGCTCGTTGTATCTTTTATCTCTTTCAAGATAATCAAAAAGGTGTGTACCATGCATCTTCTTGAAGGGAACTGCTCCTTCAAGCACTGCATTTTCGAATCCGTACCTTTAAAATAAAAAATAAATAAGAAGATAATCCCTTGTCTTATTGCGTATTTATCAAGAGTTAGATGTTAATTATAAACTGGTAATAATGCAAAAGTCTTTTTTTTTTAGCTCCCAGAACAAATACTCTCTCTGATCCTTATTATAAAGTATTTTGATTTCGTCATACGTTTAATTGAAAATATCTTTTTAATTGAAAAAATTTTAAAAAATATATTTTCATACTTGTTGTGTTCTCTTAATTATGATGAAATGTTCTTAAAGTTTTTATTTAAATTAAAAGGATATTCTAGATAAAATTTAGGACGAAATTAAAATGCCTAAGATCGGAGGGAGTACTATCATTTCATTTCAACGGCTATTTATGAGTCAAAGGCGGCTATCTCTCCCTTCTAATGTATCATTGGCTTGAAATCTATCCTACAATGCCTCTTAAATTTCCTCGTCTAATAAAGCGTGTATGCACCAGATGCCGTCTTAGTTTGATTATTATCATAAAAAATAGTTTATGTTAAATTTTGAGATTCGTATTAAATACAATATAAATTTAAAATTTAATGTGAACTATTTTTTATGAATGGAAAAAGGAAGTACAAAATGCTCATTCTCTTTTTCCGATTTCAGGTGGAAAAAAAAATAAGAAAGCGAAAATATAATGCCCTCCATGCTTTTTGGTGAGTTCTATTTTGCAAAAAACACCATTTTTTGGATGTATTAAACCGCAAGAGTATTTTGGCCAAATGTAGTTAGATTTAGGCTATTATTTCTATTCAATATGTTTGAAGCGGGATATATCAATCTCAAAAGTTCTATCAATTTGGAGCTTGAGACAAGTTGCCTACAAGTTCCTTGTACGTACTTCCTCTGCCTTGTAAAAAGGCTCACATTGGATTTTGAATTTATACCATTTTTATTACGAATTTCAAAATTTAATGTACACTATTAGGTAAAAGAGAGGGAGTAATTAATTCCTAAGAAAACATTTCTTTCCCTAAATAAAGAAATTGTTTCACTATATATTTTAAAAGATTCAAGAATTGTTTTGTTGCTTTGCTTTATGAAAATGGTAATTTAATACATTAAATGTACTGAACACAAGATGAAAAACTAAAAAAAAATAAAAAATAAAATTGAATGGAAATATAATATATTAAGTGTACTTAGCTCAAGATGAGAAACAAAAAAAGAATCGAAAGAAATCTAATTACCAGGTCTGTGTTATCACAATGTCATTATTCAAATCCAGGAAAGGGCCAAGCGAAACTCCTCGTTTGTTCCGTACAAAGTACTTCGCCACCGGTGCCAACCCATATACTCTTTGGCTACCACCGTCGCCGACACCGTCAACGGAGGAGCAAGTCAGCACGGAGTGGCTAGTTAGGAGGCGCATCATCCGGTCGAGCATCCCCGCGATAATATCCTCAGAGTTACCGCCGTTACTTATCAAATGATCATATTCACCACGGTTAATACTAGCAGCTGTTGGAGAAGATTCAGACAAGCGAGAAGCGATTTCGGAAGGCGAGAGTTGCGCATTGAGACCGGCTCCGGCAATGATATCGAACAAGCCGAGCCGGACGGCGGACATCAACACCATGGGAAGCGATATGGAGGTCGCCAGCTGCATGGCATACGAGAAATGTTGGTTTTCTTCCTCTTCTTCTTCTTCTTCACCATTTTGTAAGTTGCAAATGTTGTCGGGAGTTTTAGCTGGGGATTCCATATATACTTTCACGTACTATTACTACGTAATACTACTTGTGAAAAATGAGAATTGGATTTATGATGTGTTTATTGCATTTATATTGAGTTGTTGTTTCGATATGGTATTACTGGTTTAGGATGATTTCCAAAATGAGTGGAGCAGGCATCAGTCAATCATTTCCCAACTAGCTTTAATTTATTTGTTTCTTTGGTATGTTTCTGAATTCCATTCACGAGTTTGTTGTCGTGTACGATGTGAAATCAAATAAAAGATGTTCACCCTATCCCGAATATATAATGCAATTTTTTTTTTTAATTTATTATTTTCGTCCTACAAATACAAATCTCAAATGTAGATTATTGTTCTGGCTTTCTGGGATTGAAGAAACATTATGTTGTTCTACTTTGCCACTTGAAACTGAAGAAAAATGACTCCACTTGAACTGAAAGAAAATGATTCCCACAGTAACAACAAAAAGTTATGGGAGATGCAGATGCAATTGTGTCACTTCTGTTTTTTTTCCTCCCCATAATTAATGATATAGATATGTTAAATTTAACAAACCTATGCATTTGATTCATCTATATATATAAGTAAATGTCTCTTGGTGAATTTAGAATCTTGAACATGATTGGTGAAAAATTAAATTAAGTATTCTGATTGATCCATTAGTGCACATGAAATCATCAATTTTTAATTGAACCCTTTGATTGGTTCATATATTAACATGCCATTAATAATTTAAAATAAGGCTACAATGGATAATTAATTTTTTTTTTTTGGCCAACCAAATGTCATTAGCCGAGAGAAATAACTTAGAGTTTAGAATCTTGAACGTCATTGGTCAGAAATTAAATTGAGCATTGACCCATTAGTTCACATGATATCATCAATTTTTAATTGAGCCCTTTGATTGGTTAATATATTGATATGACATTAGCAATTTAAAATAAAGCTACAATGGGCAATTAATAAAGTTATTTTTCTTTTTTTTTTTGCCAACCAAATATGTCATTAGCCGAGAGAAATAACTTAATAATGTGACGGGCTAAACGATGATGTTTACTACCCAATGTTACCAATTAAAATGTCATTTTTTCGTGCCCATTTTTACAACCAATTTTTTTGACCGCTCTCCATCCCTTCTTTTCTCACAAATCTTTCCCTGCCCTAAATGTAAATTTAATCTTCTGTCACATCCATTTCTCAATCCCTTCGAAATCCAATTATCTTCTTGAGTTCGAAATCCAATTGTTATGCAATGGTGGCGACGGTCAATCTCTCAAAAGGAAAAAGAACTAATCTGAATTTTTATTTTTGGGTTCCCGATGGTGGCCATGGTGTAGATCATGCTACCAACAAACAAATGGTGATCATACTTTGGTTGGACTTCCGATGGTGGCAATGCAAGCAATCCGCCGTCGAGGAAACACATGGTGGTGCTGATGAATCGTGTTTCCGGCGTCACATAATAATTATTATTAGAATTTCAATAAGTCATACGACAACGTGATAATTTGAAGTGAATTCATATTAGCATGACTTAAATTGGTCGCATGTATTGTGACGAGAATAAATCTAGTTTTCATATATGCTTCTAAAACATCACAAATGTTATACTTCCTTTATTATTATTATTTTTTTAAAAAAGAAAATTTTACATCTCATTCGTGAATTGGTGATCCATTCGATAAAATTCAAAATGTATGGAATGAATAAATGAATGATGAAAAATTATTTCAAAGCCTTGTGGTGGCTTTAATTTTAGCATAAAGTTAAACTCCAAATATTTTTCTTTTTAAGAGAATAAATAAAATACAAAGACCTATATATAAAGTAACAAGGTTTGGTTTTTGGGACGTTTCTATCACGGCCCTATGTATTGCCAGTAGGTACGAAGGAAAAGGATGTCGAAATTAATTTCGATGTTAGGAACTCCAATTATTGACGTGTTGTGCTAGCACATGAAAAAAAAAAAAAGAAATCTTGAAAATTTACCACTAACCAAGTCAATTATATCAAAATTGTAAAAATTCCAAGCCCAATTTGATATCCAAATTAGTTCTCTCAGTGTAAAATATATATAGATCGTTATTGTAAGAATTCTGTTTTTTTTTTTGAGAAAAAAAAAAAAACATACTTTCATTAATAGAATATTTTTACTTTGTCAACTAAAACTCCCATGATGCTCTTCTAATAAAAAGAGCACAATACATTGCACACAAGTGAAACTTATTAATCCACAACAAAGTTAGATACTTCGTAAAGAGAAACGGGCATGGCAACTTTAGATGTAAATAATTTTTATTTCTCTTTTGTAACTTGTATCATTTAAGAACATGACAAAAGAAAGGGCAGTATGTTTCGAAACGTGAACTATTTATTACTCCATGTAAAGAATTAATGAAGCAAAGTGAAATGATCATAGTATCTGCGGTGATAATTTAACTGAATTTATGAAAAATCTATTTATTAATTATATATTAACCCAAAGACTAACAACAGTAAAACGAACAAGTCAAATATATCGCAAACATATGAAAACTCTTGCTGAGTGAAACAAAACTTCAATCATGGATACCATTCTCTCTTATAGAATTCCATGACACACGAATTACAAACAAAACACTTTAACTTGATTCCTTGAAATCCAGCTCTCAAAGCCAACGTAAGAAACTTTTCTTCGTTTCTCTCCTTTCCTCTTGGAGCTTCAATCAACATTATTATATCCAATTGGCATGTTGCTTTCGTACGTGCTCGAGTATCCAGAATATTCATCGGAAGAAGTTCATCCACAATTATTACTTTTCCATTTTCTGGTAGGGCTTTATGACAATTCTTTAACAATTTCACGCAAGGATCATCATCCCAACCATGGAGTATTCACTATGAATAATCGAGAAATAAAAAAAAGATAAGCAATTAAGATATATTTATGAAACGAATTAATTCTACCTTCCAACTTCATATATCAATGGTTCCATTACGTCCATAAAGTCTGAATAGTTTCACTTTTATCTCTAACATTGGTGTTTTGGATTTATTTGATTTCGTCCTAAATATGTGACAATCTTGACAACAAAGATGAGATGCATGTTTTACTCTACGTGCGGATCACAATTTGGATATCAGAAAAAAATGGAATAATGACTCCGGTACTTTTATAACATATGCATCGCACCTGATTTTCGAGTTTGTCTCAAGTTTGAAACATAATTTTCACAAAAAATAAAAAAATAAAAGTAAATATCTAGTTCTTTAAAACGATTTTTTGGACAAAGTCAAACCATGCAATATGAAATGGACTCGACCCTCGCAGGCTCGGTCTAAACATTTTGGGGACCCTAGTGCAAATAATGAAAATAGGCCCTAACAAATTAAATACAGTTTATTTTTTTTAATATGGATTTTTATTTTTATTTTTTTTATTATTATTTTTTTAATATATTGGGGAAGCTTTTCAGCTTGGTGTACAAAACAACTCCTTAGAGGGGAGTTGGACCAAAAGCCCTAGGGCTATCAAAAGCAAGTTTTCCTAATACTTCACTCGGGGGTGTTGCCAAAATATGTAACCCTTCCGGAGTTGAATAATACATTCTTTAATATGGATTTAAAGAATTTAATTAAATGAGTCTAAAACTTATTAATCACTTAAAATCCACCATACTTTTGATGTAAAATAATTTTTTAATTCATACATTTTGCCTTTAGATTAAAATAAAATTTGGGCTCATATATCAAATATAACCTTAAATAAAACACAAAAATAACATAAATTGGCCTTTTTTTTCTTGGGGGCCCTGGTGCAAACCACCGTTTGCACCCCCCTCTGAGCCGGTCCTGGGCCCTCGAATTGAATCTTTCTTAAAAGGCAAGTTCCTAGAGTGAATTTTGAAATTTTGCAAGTTTTGCCCCTGCAAAAATTGTCGTTCTTTTTTGCACCCGGCTTTTCAACTTATGGGTTCAACTACAGAGTTCGAGCTAGGGCATTAAGAACATTACCATCATAAAAATAGCATTCCCATGAGGAATACTTTCGAACATGTCTCCCGCAACATGTTTTATTCCTGCATAGAATGGTTGGTTAGGGATACATATGTTTGGATTATGAAAACATCGATTTATTTTATTTGTAAAATTCAATCAATATATTAAAAGAAGGACTAAACTCAAGAACCAATCACATCCAAACAATCTTCATTTTTGTCTTTTTCTTTTTTTTCTGTTTTGGTAAAGATCCAAACAATCTTCCAAATACGTCTAAATCTAATAATATGTGACTGGAATGCATCCTCTAAATTGATGATACAATTTTCCCTGCATTATGTTACAAAATTCTTTGTCGTAAAAAGGACAGTGTATTAATTCTTGCATTCAAAAAAATTAAAATAAGCATAATTCTTATTTTAAAAAGGAAAAGTTCTTATTCTTTTCCAATTTAATCTAGATTACAGAGACAAGTATGTGTACCTGGATAGGCTGGGGCATGTTGGATAACATGTGGCAAATCAAAATTAATGCCGCTCATATTTGAATATTTGGTTGTAATAATATTGAGGTTAATTCCAAGACCGCCACCTACATCTACCAAAGTTTTGAGGCAATCAAATCCTTTGT